GCAGAATAGTCAAGGGGCGTGGGGTTAAATGTTAATCCTCTACAAAACTAAAGCATTCCACATACCAGAAATATTTCAGGACTTCTTTTGAAATTCAGTGCTATATATTCTAAATGGTTGTTAATTACAATTTTTGTTTCTGATAATTTTGGAATCAACACATGGTTTCCTCTGCAACCTGATGCATTGTATATTGGTGTTCAATCAGTAACACTATCAATGGTATCGTGAAACAAATATATGTGGATACACTAATGTGTCTTTTTTTTAGTGTTAGGTTACACTACCAATCCGATGACCTTCTGTCTCAAAAGACCTTCTGTGTCAAAAGTTAACTTTGTACTTAAAATAAAATCAAATTTATATTCATGAGCAATTTTTGAGTTCATTTTCTTTAACTGATCTCTTAACTGTGCTTGTTTATTACATACAGGAGCTAAGTTAGACAATGTTGTGATGTCACTTTAACTCATTCCCTCATACCTTTGTAAACTGATTCACTTGTTTAAAGTTAAAAGATTTTTGGGGCTTGATTTGGCTGCCATTACAAATCTTTAACTTGCCCAGTAAGCCTGCAATTTAAATCAAATCCAACCAAAACAAACAAAACTAAATGTATTTGTGTTTAAACAAAACTACATGCACATACACATCGAGGGAGGTGTTTAAAAAATACTAATCCACAAACAAAGCAAATGTTATCACTAAAAATAAAGTCCAGGTAGTGTATGGAGAGGAACTCTAAAAATCAAGAACTGACCAGTTATGGTACCTACAAGAGGTAAATAGAAGGTATTCATCATGGTTTTCATTGCAGCCAATGTACAGGGCTGATTCTGGGCAGGTACACTGGGTGTACAGTGGATTCCCACTGGACCCAAGCGAAAAGATTCCCACTGCACCCAAGCAAAAAGATTCCCACTGGACCCAAGGGAAAAGAACCAAACGGACCGCAGGGAGAAGATCTCACTGGACCCAAGTGACAGGATCAACACTGGATCCCTGGAAGAATATCCCCACTGGAGCCCAGGGTATATCCCCACTGGAGCCCCAAGGTAGGAAGGCTGGATGAGCCTAAAAATTTCCAATAAAACATGCATGTCTGGACTGGACACTTGCAAAGGGGAGGAGTTAGTAAGAGGACCATGCCCACATGGGGGTACCAAAAAAAACATTCTGCACCCAGGAGTCTGTGACCCTAGCATCGACCTTGCCAATGTATCACGTTTCTTATGATCTAAAAAATACTTAGTTGTTCTCCTCAATGACCATAAAATTAAATAGTCTGGAACAGCGTCATTCAGCAAGTGTTCTATTTCTGGCAGAATGCGTACTGTCTAGTCATAAAAACCTGTATCCAAACTGTGTAAATTTACACTGTTGCCTAGTGCCTCATCTACTGCCTGCCTCCATAGAGGCTTCTTATGTTTTGTAATGGAATTATTGATGGAAGATACCTTGACCCCAGGCTCAAGCTTTTAAGATGACCAGCTGTCCAGTCTTTACTTCTTACATTCTGCTTTTAATTTTTTGTCTAGTTTTGAGTGTCTGACAAATAAACACAAGTAAGCATAAAATCATAACTTGTGACATTCTGTGGTTTCTGAGGAGACGATTGCAGCTTTCCCCATTAAACCCCCTCTGATGCCCTAATGTTTTTATATATATATATATATAACCAGTGAAATATGCTTAGTACTGTAATTTCCCTTTTATGGTAGTGTGACTTCACCCATCTGGTTTTTAGCACGGATATCACAAAGCTGTCTGTACAAAGTACTATATAATCTGTAAGCTTACACAATAAAATAAGGAAGTAATCTTTGAATCAAAAACTGTCTGGTCTGATTACTTTCTCCGAGCAGCTCGTAATTTAAAGTGTCAATTTGGTTTCCACCTGAACATATCTCCGGGTAAATTAATATCCTTAACAATTGGTGCCGAAACCCAGGAGGAAACAATCCATTACATCCAGACAAAATACTGGGAAACCCACGGTTGTAGACAGTGACTCTTAAGCTGCAGCGGTAAGAAAAAAAATTCTACCTATCTAGATTCATTCTCTATTGAGCTCTCTGAGTCCTAAGTCTGGGTGAGTATGGATTTAAATAGGTCTCCTTCTAAAGAACTTGTTTTCTGTGGTTGGTTATGTTCAGGTGGAATGTCTTGTGAAAGAAATCTTGGAATCTTGAGATAGTAGAATATATCTGTGGGTCTTAACTTTGTTTGCCTTGTCATTTGCTTTATAGTTTTATAGTTAGAGTAAGAATCCTCCAAGTCAGATCTTTGATCTGTGTTTATATAAAGAAGACAAAGACTGTGAAAATTCCACTGCAGTTGTCCTAAGTGTTTAAACACTGTTTGTATAGTCTTGTCTTGGTTAAGGAAGTAATTACCCCTTACATGTTAGAGAAGGGTAACTCATAAAAATGACCCAGGAAGAGGAGTTTACAGCTCTACTATAGTTAATCATCTTAAAGGAAGGCAATAAAGAAATTACTCAAGAAAGCAGGCATGCCTTCAGAGGGCACCCTTGACCCACAGATATGGAAGGAATTTATGAAGTCTGACAGGTTTTCGCTATCACTCTCAGTGGGTGAGCAATCTACTGAAGTCTCTGGTATGGTAAAGGAGATGACTCCGGTGGAGGAGGGAGTCTATCGGGAATGATAGTTTTATGTTATTTTCCAACATATATCTATATATTTGTTGATGGTTATGTGTGGGCGGTGTTCTATATATGTTTCACCATAAGGGAATTTTGGGGGGTATTTAAGGGTGCAGCTCTGTAATCATATTTATCATGATATCTCTGACTATTTCCCCAGTCTCCTATTTCGTAAAGTATGAGTTTCTTTTTCTGTTTATATTGTTATATATTATTTCACATGGGTTCTATATGCCTGGTATGATTGTTATGTCTATACCATGAGCCCACTACACTTTCCATGAGAGTGGGATATTGGGATTGTGTTGCATTCTCTGAATGATGAGCCTAGTATTTTCGTACTGGGACAAATTCACTTCATTAGTATTTCAAAGTTAAGTCCCCATACAGGATTAACTGTGTAAAACATCAAGCACCACATTTTCCCTGCCCTGGGTGTTTCTTGCAGAGGATCCATACTGTAAATATATTTGTTTGTAAATTAGAGAGCCACATCTACTTTTTCAGCGGTCCAACACATGCTTCATTTTGTGCTGTAACCTAACTTTCCCTTGCTACAGGTACTTTAACCCCTTAAGGACCAAACATCTGGAATAAAAGGGAATCATGACATGTCACACATGTCATGTGTCCTTAAGGGGTTGAAGAATGCAGAACTTGCTGAATATGCTTTATGATTCTCTGTAGATTAATCTTTGAGGAAAAAACTCCCTATTATGACTAATATGTCTAACATTATATGTGTTCTTTCAAATTGTGGAAATCTACAAATTGTTGTACGGGATGCTGAGATTTTAGTCTTTATGACCACAAACCTGTGTGTTGGGTTTGAGTTTTGGTCAGGTATGCAGACTGGATCAGAATATCATGGACAAAGGTTGATTATACGTTTCTCTGTGGCTCTTAAACACTCAACTGGATCGATCCAAAAAGGTTTGCCATGCCTAACATGGTCTAGCATAATAATGTTGAGTCTCTGAGAGTTCTGAGAGATTCGGGTGACACCATGTCTGTGTAATCTGGTCCAAATATTTGCTCAATTTCTATAAGATTTATGATAATGTAGCATCATCTCAGAGAGAAATTTTATTGAGAGGGTACAGATCTTGCAATAAGTTGATGCACGTTTCACATGAATATGTAAGACTAGAGCGCTATATAAAGGGATCCCTTCTTTATAAACAATACTATGGTAGATTAAGTAATATGGTATTTAAGGAAATACATGTATACAATAACCCTAGAATAAATCTGATACAAATTAAAATTGGTATACCTGTCAATAATATGTTCTGAATACAGATGTTATGAGTTTATTCTGTGTAATTGGTGCCTGTGTTAATGTGTTTTGAATACCCATTATGAAGTGTGCAGGTTAACTAGCGAGTAGATTAAATTGGTATTTTACTGTGTTGTTTTAAAACATATTTGAATCAGTTTGTCCCAGTCTATTGATACAGATGGAAATGCCAGCCTAATAACCTATTAAATAACTATTTTGGTGGCTGTTGAATGCTGCATTATTACTTCTGTCCAAGAGCATTGGGAGTTTGAGTAGTTCTAACAGTTCTAATTTTGCGGTCTGTTCTACAGTGTTAGTCTAATGTATTGCTGTTGCAATAGTTGACTTCCTGTTTTATTCAACTTTCCTGTTCATTTGCCAAGTCTTGCGATCTATCTTCAATGCTGGTTGTCTGCTTCCGTAGTAGTCAAACAGTTTTCAGAAATTTTCATTATTTTTTTAAAAGGCTATTTATACATAGGTATGAGAATGGTGTTGCATATTTAATTGGAAGTGTTAGTTTAAGACTGCAGTTGTAATCTATCACGACCATAGGAACTACATTGTGTCAAACTGTGTTTATTCTAAGGGAAACAGAGTGTGAAATTTGTTAATTTATTTTGGAATGGTTATGGTTTAGTTGCGTGCCCATATTTGCTGGGTATCTATTATGTGTATCTACTACGTATGGTCCCTCGGACCTGTGTTCTATTTTTTTCAGATGACAACAGGTTTAATATTACAATGATTGCTGAGTTTAAGTGCTATGGGTTTTAATGAATTAGTGTGTTCTGTGGTCCTTCCTTGTTATTGTCTATTGTTTCTGAGTTTAAATAGTAAAGTTAAGAATATTTGCATGTCATTAATGAAAGCATTTAGTGTATTTACAACAGGTAAAATGCTATAAAGCCGGCAAGAATAAATCCATTGCATGCTATCACTCCTGGACATTATTTGATAATAATATGAGACTTTGAGAAAAACACTTGTTACATTTCACGTAAAAGGGGCCCCACAAACTTCTGCTATTCAAATCGTGGATCCACGTTTCTTTTTGCAAACTGACTAATCCTGAATGTGATTCTTTCACTGAGAAAAAGTATACATGGACAAGAAGAAGACTCTCCCTTATAAAGGAGTACTCCCGCTACCTCTCACAGGGGAGTATTGTCCAGCTATTTTCCTGCTCAGAGTTAACTCTACTTTTAAAGTGTATTGCATTATTTGTGGCAAAGAAAATTATGTTATCCATCTTGATTGTTCTGCCTTTTTAACTGGGCAGAAACACCAGTCTGTGGGGGTATGTAGAGGATGGGTTTATTCCCAAAGTAAGATTCATCTAGTATGCCTCATTGATCATAGGGTAATGATGAAATTGTATTTTTAATAGAGATCAGACAATTTCTGACATTTATAAGTGAGGCAATTCTAATCTAAACTACTGTACTATATTTGTATTGGTAAATTGAAAGCATTTTTGCAGACCCAGAAGAGGATAAGTAAGATAATAATGAAGGGGTTATTTTCAATTTTTTTTTAAATATATCTTTTGTGGTTAGAGACTTTTGATACTCAGTTTGAGCTATGCCCAACCACATCTCACCCTAGCATTATTCATTATAGGGAACAAAAACCATAAGTTAGGATTTTATAGTAAGATATTAATACTTTTTGAGTAATGTTTGAATTGGATGGTTCATGTTTTTAATATTTTATATATAGTTTATTGAATTATTTGGGGTTATTAAAGTAATTAATTGAGATTATTAAATCAAGGTTTAAATTTAAGAACAGAGTTTTATTGGGAATTATCCCCATATGTGTATGTTAAGATTATGTACATAGATTTCGTCAGTTAGTCACTTTCCCGAGAAAGTGTTTTAGTACCCATCCTGTCCAATCAAGTATTTATATAGAGTGAGTGTTTCTCTCGTCTGTACAAAGGCATTCCAAAGAGAATTATGTAAAATTTCATAGAAGACAAATTTCATGAAATATAGGCAAAGCTGAGAGAAGTACGTTACACCAGTTAAGGATTTAATTTTAGTCTCTTATTTGACTTTTAGCCTAGGTAATTGATAAATTGATCATAATAGATATATCCTTTTAGGAATTGTTCATGTCGTATTGATCCTTGTGTTTGTATACTTGTAGAGACCGTCCTGGAGTGTTTGTGCTACCTGATTCTTGGGATTGTGCACCAATCTCTCTCTCTGGCTGACTTTGCACTCCCTATTTTGCAATTACATCTGTTTGGTCAAAATCCATGAAGGCTGAAGAAACTGTGATGCTTACTTATGAGGACATAACCTTTGTACGCAAGACCCCAGAAAGTCCAGAAGGTGCAGTGCTGTCTAATGCCGCTGGTTCTGTATTAACCCTTTCAACAATTGGGGTGTTGCACAGAGCATTGTGGTGAACATGCAGCTAACAAAAGAAGAACTAAGAACTATGTGGAACCTGACATTGTCTTGTTGTCAGCCATATTGCTACCCTTAGCTATTTTATGGAACAAAATGTATGGTGTCCTAACTAATTTATTTATACTCCTTGAATGATTTCTTCTATTTTTTCTGAACTATGCTGAACTATTGAACTATTTTGTTATTTTTTTATTTTTTGTAGAGTTAGCCAGAGAGGGATGGAGTGTTAGCTGACCCAGGGAGGGATGTAGTATGTGTTGTTGATGCATGTTGAGTGTGCCAAGGATGGATTCCCATGTTGTGAGGAATTGGATGTGGATATGACTTGGTTTGACTGGACCTTTAGAATAGGGAAATGGTTAGGAGATATAGGACGTGCTTTTTTTTCTCAAATATGAGTTTTTGTCACTGAGTTTTTTTGACCTGGCCCCAGATCACTGGGTGGACTGGTAATCCTAAACCCTGGTCCACGGACGAGGGATGGGTACTATTCCCACTTTGACTATAGGCATTCACCATATGAAAAAAAAAAAAAGGTCGGAAAGTGTTGGGAATAATACACTTTGCCTATACTGACCCACGGCTGCTGCTATAGATGACTGGATGTTCAGTCTGTTTAAAATTGGTTAACTTTGAGCTTGTTAGCTATTTGAAATAATATATTTTGTCTATATACAATGCTCAATGTAAGAACCCCTAGACAGAGTTATGAACTTTCCTGTCTCAGAGCATTGGTCTTATTTGCTGTTTTCTATCTCTGTATTTCGAACTGCGTAGTAACATATGTATTTGATGAGTGCGTAGTAACTTTTTATTTCAGCTGCGTAGTTAAACTGAAACTATAATGAGTACTCCCCCATTACACCTGCAAGCTAGCTGTAAGATAAGATATATTGAGATAAGATTGATGAATGATGTTATTATTGGATAAGACAACCCCTGTTTCCTTTTGAATATAACCTGTTACACAGCCTATTAAATGTTAGGAGTACCGGGCTTAGCACTGTATAATAACCAAGTAATTGATGCCCTAGCCTGTTCCCTCGCCAAAAAGGTTTAAATGGGACATCCCAGGCCCTGGATGAACTTGATACCCAGCTTAACAAGAAAGCGATCCTTGAAAATAGGGCAGCTATTGATTATTTGTTAATTAAACATGAATTAGGGTGTGAGGCAGTAAAGGGCATGTGTTGCTTTAATCTTTAGGATAAATGGACAATGATCCATGAGCATATACAGATTCTTCACGATCTAGTGAAGGGAATAAAACAAGATTCAGGGTTCTTTGGGGATTGGACCCCGATGTTCAGCGGTCCAACACATGATGGGTACTGAAAATGGCAGAGCCTAACCTACTGAATTAAACCTACCCCGCCTCTCTACACCCACTATAGCCCCCTCACAGTGCCCCCTCAAAATATGGGAGATCTTTAAGCTGTACTCGGTGTGTGTGTATATATATATATATATTTATATATATATATATACATATTATTTATTTACTACAAATCACATAAATTGAGTGGATTTAAAAAAAAAATGTATCATCCTTTTTAAGCACACTCTTACTGGCCCACATTGGAATCAGTCTGGGTGCTCTTTTATTGACACACTCACTCACTGGCACACATTAAATTAATATACTATGGTGAATGCAGTTAGATGAGTCTATCACTAGGGATCACTGTCCACCCAAAATAAAAATAAGTGAGCCTAATTGATTAGACACTGAGAGCTACCTTGGTCTTGGTAGATGGCTCAGTATGTTAATTAAGAAAATATTGTATTTCTTACTTATCACAGTATTTATAATAATGATGATTTTTCTGACATTTAAGTTCTTCTCCTGTGTTCTATTATCATTGTGTAAATCAAAACCTTGTGTTGGTCGTACTTTAACTTATATGCCAGCTTTCTAGTTTCGAGTGTCTGACAAATAAGCACAAGTAAGCATAAAATCATGACTTGTGACATTCTGTGGTTTCTGAGGAGACGATTGCAGCTTCCCCCATGTAACGGATCACCTGACACCCCGACTGGGTACCTCCATTGAAGGATGCTCTTAGCGCTTCCCGAGGACTCCAAGCACTGCAGCAGACACCACAACCACCAAACCGGAGAAGCATGTGAATGCTCTCAAGCATAAAGCATTTGAATGCTGTAAGCAGCTGAACAGGAAAAGCATACAATCAGCTTACACTCCTGGCAATCAGCATACAATCCAATTCCCCCAATAACGAGACGACACTTCGTTTTGAGGTCAAACAGAACTGACTGTACTGGCACATACAGCCTCTTTTATTCACAATCCACAAACACAGTACTGCCCACAGGGAAATACAACCAATCAATCCGTACAATACACATAGACACTCCCACCAGGTGCGTATTAGCCGCGAAGCAAACAAGGCATTTGCCTTGGCTGCATTTTTCAGGGGGCGGCAAATAACGCTGCCCCCAAATGCCCAGGGCAAATGCCTAGTTAGCCTCGCGGGCTGGGCGGCGCTGGCAGGCGGCTGGTGAGAGAGCTCTTCCTCTGAGCTGACTGCTCAGCTCCCTCCCGCGCTGCACAGTGAGGCCGGGAGCTGGAATATGACGTCATCTTCCAGCTCCCAGCCTCACTCTGCGGCGCATGAGGGAGCTGAGCAGTCAGCTCAGGTGAAGTGCTCCCTCGCCAGCCGTCTGCCAGCTCCACCCAGCCCGACCGGCAGCCACTGGACCACCAGGGAGAGAGACACCCCCCAGCACTCCCAAAGGTAAGGAGGCTGCGGGGGGGTAAAAAAAAAAAAGTTAATGTGAGTGATTGTGTGTGTGTGTCTGACTGTGTGTGTGTGTTGTGTCTGACTGTGTGTGTGTGTTTGTGTCTGACTCTGTGTGTGTGTGTGTGTGTGTGTGTGTGACCTGGTGTTGCTGCTGAAGACAGGCTGTCTCCCCTTTGGATAAACAGCCCTGCTGCAGGGGGACAGAACCGACTGTCCCTACACCCTGTGGTTTGGGCACAGAGACCACGGTCCCATCTGCACTGGTGTGGGGCTTATCATCTCCCCTTGGTGGGCTAGGCTGCTGCTGGGGAGGGGGAACAAGACTCTCCCCTCCTGGTAGAATACTCTGCCGCTGGGGAGCAGGACCGACTGTCCGTACTCCCTGTAACTTGGACGCTGAGACCACGGTCCCATCTGTGCTGGTGGGGGGCTTAGTGTCTTTCCTTGGTGGGCTACGCTGCCGCTGGGGAGAGGGGATAACAAGCTCCTCTCCCTTACACACTTTCAGCCGCTGGGGAGGAAGGACGGCACCTTCGGCTCCCTGTGATACATACTGCACTTGGGGAGGAAGAACAGCACCTTCGGCTCCCTGTGATACATACTGCTGCTGGGGATCTGGGCCGACTGCCCAGCATCCCTGTAGGGCCGGTAGAGAGACCGCCGTCCCATCTCCACCTGCCATCTGTGGGTCTTCCCAGGACCAGTCTGTGAGGTCTCTCAACATTTGCGAGTAAGGACCACCTGCTTCCGCACCTCGCAACTTCCCTGATCTCCCTATGCCTCACTTCACTGATCTATAGGCTGCCCCATGCCTCACTTCCTTGATCTATAGATTGCCCCCCATGCCTCACTTCCCTGATCTATGGGCTGCCCCCCATGCCTCACTTCCCTCATCTATAGGCTGCCCCCCATGCCTCACTTCCCTAATCTATAGGATGCCCCCATGCCTCACTTCTCTGATCTATAGGCTGCACCCCCCTATACCTCACTTCCCTGATCTATAGGCTGCCCCCCCTATGCCTCACTTCCCTGATCTGTAGGCTGTGTGATCCTTGTCACCAGGTAGCACGGCCCTCTAGGGTAAAAACATGCACAGTCCTTGTAATTGCATATACTCAGGCACTTTATTTGCAAATCCACACAGGATACAGCAGAAAATGAAAAACAAAAGTAACAGAAAACCCTATAAACAAACACCTAGCTCGTCTGAGCACTAACTGACATTAGTTCCCTATCTCTCAGGGTTAAACTAAACACAATATTGCACCAACCTTATTAGTTAGCAACACTCTGCTGCCTAGCCTGTTGCATTCCTTTCTGCACTCCCAGTGCTCCAAGCCAGCCTTGCCCTGACTGCTTTGCTTTCTGCACTCCCAGTGCTCCAAGCCAGCCTTGCCCTGACTGCTTTCCTTTCTGCACTCCCAGTGCTCCAAGCCAGTCTTGCCCTGACTGCTTCCTTTCTGCACTCCAAGTGCCTAGTCACCTTGACTATCTGGAGAGAACAGCCTCTCTCTCCTACCTGCTTCCTGGGAGGAAGCCAGCAATCCCTCTCCTTTTCCTGCCTAGCCGGGAGGAGTTTATTACCACTGCAATAGCTCATTAACTGCACCTGAGCAGTGGGTTGGAGACGATCCAAAAAACCCTGGCCTGGATCCATGTCTCCCCAGAAAACCACTAAACTGTGGAGTGGAGCATTGGCCCACCCTTCTCTCCAAGTGCTCCACCCCAGGGGCCCATAACTAAACAATGCGTTGTGTTGTGCAAAACACAAACTACACATACTCCCCCTGGGGTTAAAAGGCCTATCTGCCTTCACTTTATCACAGCTGGTTTACCCCCCACCCCCAAACGCCTCACTTACCTGATCTGTAGGCTGTTTCTGGCTGCATGTGCTGCTCCCCTGCGGATTCAGTCAGGTGACAGAAGCTGGGATAAGATGTAGCTTCCTATCCCTGTCTCTCTCCATACACCTACTGCTGCAGACGCCAATAATAGTAAATAACCCTGTACAGTAAGAATTGTCAGGAAATCAAAGATATTTTCAAATTTAAAGTTGCGGAATTGAAATCAGAGTTTTTTCCATTTGAGCTATTTTGGACTTAAACGTTGACAGTCACTTGACAATTCTCACATTAGTGAATAACTCTGTGTGTGGGTACTAGTCTAGCACATATATATCTATCCATATCCCAGTGTGTAACAAGGAACAACAGGGTCCCACTGCTAGAGCCACTCAGGTTTATTGCTGCTCATTAGGTAATAAACGTGAGTGGCTCTCTGTGGAGCTTGGCTAGCTGCAAATGTTTGCTGAATGAATGCTCTTACTGCTTGCACATTTTCTGATGTTCTAGCACAGGCATAGGCAACCTTCAGCACTCCAGATGTTTTGGACTACACCTCCCATAATGCTTTGCCAGCATTATGGATGTAAGAGCATTATGGGGGATGTAGTCCACAACATCTGGAGTGCTGAATGTTGCCTATCTCTGTTCTAGCGGCTCTAGGACAACTGAATCAGTGTGGATTCAGTTGTCCTAGATTAGAAATCCATAGCAAAATCGTTTTCCGATATGGTACTGATGGATTTCGACCGAGCACAAAACGTGTATGGAACGCTCACTTGAACAACAAAGCCCCGATGTTCAGCGGTCCAACACATGATGGGTACTGAAAATGGCAGAGCCAGTGGCGTACATACCAGGGGGCCCGGCCGCCCCTGCGACCCGGTATGTACCCACAGGGCCAGCCTCTTCCCCTGGGGGGCCCAGGACCCGACCACCCCAGGGCCCCCCGAGGCTGGCCCTGCTGTCACCCGGCAGGCGGGTGGCCGGTTGGGCAGGCGGGTGCGCGAGGGAGCACTCAGTGCTTCCTCTTCAGCTCCCTCGCGCACCGCACTGATACCGGAGCCGAAAGATGACGTGCTCCCTTGCGCGCCCGCCTGCCAGCCCGCCCGCCGGCCAGACAGCCTGCCCAGCAGCACCACTGGACCCCAGTGAATCCCCGCAGCACTCCAAAAGGTAAGGAGGCTGGGGGGATTACATTTTTTTTTTTAAACGTGTGAGTGTTAGTGTGTTAGTGTTAGAGTGTGTGTGAGTGTTAGAGTGTGTGAGTGTGTGAGTGTTAGAGTGTGTGTGAGTGTGAGTGTTAGTGTTAGAGTGTGTGAGTGTTAGAGTGAGTGTTAGAGTGAGTGTTAGAGTGTGTGTCTTAGTGTGAGTGTTAGTGTGAGTGTTAGTGTGAGTGTTAGAGTGTGTGTGAGTGTTAGAGTGTGTGTTAGTGTGAGTGTTAGTGTGAGTGTTAGAGTGTGTGTGTGTTAGAGTGAGTGTGAGTGTTAGAGTGAGTGTTAGTGTGTGTGTGTGCTAGTGAGTGTTAGTGTGAGTGTTAGTGTGTGTGAGTGTTAGTGAGTGTGAGTGTTAGAGTGAGTGTTAGTGTGTGTGTGTGTCTGCTAGTGAGTGTCAGTGAGTGTGTTACTGTGTGTGTCTTACTGAGTGTGTGTGTGTGTTAGTGAGTCTGTTTGATGTCTGTTAGTGAGTTTGAGTTCTTTGAAACTGCTATGTTTTCAGCTGCAGGGTTAAAACTAGAGGGACCTGACACCCAGACAACTTCATTGAGCTGATGTGATCTGGGTGTCTGTAGTGGTCCTTTAAGTGTGTGTGCATCTGCATGCACTGGCGTACATACCGCGGTCGCAGGGGTCGCAGCCCT